ATGAAAGCAACATTCAAGTCAATAACCATGAACTTTCCTCTGAATACATAGTAGATAGCAGGCAGAATGTCAAATCTGTGGAGGAATGGATCATAACCGACCATTAACTTATGACTGATCCTTTTCCTATCTTAACTACTAAGAAACATCCGTTATATTCTCGTTTGCCTAGTTTTCCTTCAGGAAAGTAATATTTGATGTTTAATTGAGAAGAAGGGTTTGTCATATAATTAAACCATAAACTGAACTCTGCCTGTAGATGACAATATCTTGCACCTCTTACTCCAGAGTCGCCTGACACCCCCAACACTCAGTAATGCCCACCTACATACTTATTCCTATATTTAACTTTTAGCAATTCATAATACTGAGGCTCCCAGCTCTTCACCGTCTGTCATCTTCACTGCCTCAACATACCCAGTCCTCTTCAATGGTCTCTTTAACACTTAAACGTAACCCAAAACACCTTCATTACTGACATTTATTTTGCATACTCGCCTCCACTCGTCCCTACCCATGCAATCCAATCCACTATCAAACTACATATTTTGTATGTGATGGATGATTGTTTTCAAATATATCATTACTAAGTTAGCTCTACAGGAAATATGGAACTTTTATTTCATACTGTTGTGATATAATGACTTAATAATGTGCTATTACAGCTGCATGTCTGTCAGTATTAAGGGAGTTAGTTACCTTAAGTGCAACCTGTTTTCTTCTCCTTCCCAAGTCTACTCTTTATGACAATGTAGTTGACATAAAGTTTATATTTACTCACAGTCTTCTCTAATATTGTTTTAATCTTAATGTTAGATTTTCAAAAAAAAAAAAAAAAAAAATACATTTTTTTTAAATACTGTGTATTTTTGTCCTATTACTCTATACTGTATATATTTTTAAAAAGAGGGAACAGTATATTCATATTAGAGATAATCATGTATGGAACATTACTGTACTATAGTATTTTTAAAGGTACAGTACCTACCCTCCCTGTCCATTTTCCTGTGTATTCATATTACTGTACTATGATGTTGCATAAGTACAAATGTATCAGTATTAACCCGTAAACGGTCCAAACGTATATATACATTCTCTCCCGTAGTGCCCCAACTTTTTTGAGAGAAAAAAAAAAATTTTTTTTTAATAATAAGAGCATATGGTACCCAGGCATCCCCAATTATTTTAATATGATGCACAGTGAGTGCGCACACCCATTCTCTCATGTCTAGGCGACTCTGGCTTATCGTGGCAATGTTGAATGACAAATAAAACGTATACATACATTTGGGGCACTAGTGGTAAAAACGTATATATACGTTTGGACCGTTTACGGGTTAATAATGCAGGATGGCTATTTCTCTTTTAGAAGATACAGTAGTTTCTGTATCACCACTTTTCTTTTGAGCTTTCTTGAAATGAATTGTCTTATCTAGTACAATAATGAAATTTCATGTTACTTCCAAGCATCAGAAGTTTATATTTTATTTTGGTTGCTTTTTTGCATAGCTTGGTTATGTTGGCTTTTACCAACAACAAACATTGTTGATGCAACCTTAGCACCTTAAAGGTGCTACTAGAGATGACTGCATGTAATTTCTTCATAGCATCGCTTGAGAGTTCATATACTTTCATAAAAGCTATTGCCTCATTCTTTTCCTGTATCATAGTTTCCTTGGCTTGGGCCAAAGATTGTCTTTTACTACCATCTGTTGTTTTTCTTCCCTGGTGTCTCTTGATTCCTCTTCATCTCGTTTTTTATTCCACTTGTTTTCTTTCCTTCTTGATCTATCAGATGCTTTCTTGTCTTTATTACAGCAATCCTCTGGCTGGCAGATTGGATTATCATTATGGGGAAGCGCTAATTCTGTAGGGATTATACAGCGCCTGTGGGGGGAGGAATGAAGGTATTCAGGTTTAATCCTTTCAGGATCCAGAGGCCAAATTTCAAAGTGCGCACCAGGGTCCAAGAATTTAAAAAAAAAAATTGTTATTTTTTCTCTATGAAATGGTAGAGAATCTTTTTCTGAAGGTAATAAAACAAAAAATATGAAATTTGATGGAAAATTGATGACATTATGCTCTCACGAATTTTGATGTGTCAGCGATATTTACGAATCAGCGATTTTGCCGATTACAAAATTCCAGCCGACCAAATTCTTAGCTATTTCACTAGTATTACTTCTATTCTATCGATTGAGCACAAGAAATTGCCAAGTCAACTGTTTCAACTACAAAATAAAGTGATCGGAAATTGGTAATTTGGCCAATTTAACACAAAGTTCAAAATATTCCAATTTCAAAATAGGGTCCAGAATAAACAATGTAGGTATTCCTGGCACTAAACTAACATTTCCTCTGTTCATTAGTTATGTTTTGAGGCTTTACAGATGAATTCCATTTTGATTTTTTATTCACATAATGAATTTTTATTCAAACCAAAAAATAGAAGATTTACTGTTATGCAATATTGTAATAATTGTATAAATATCAAAACCACATTTGTGAATGTATATCAGACCCACCAGCTGGCGTGTATTAGACGTGTGAGATAGTTTGTTTACTCTTGAACATCGGCAACAATTTAACATTTCCGCTACTCTGAGCTCAGTTTCAAGCCATTTCCAGTGCTAAAACCAATCAAAATCATCTCTATTTCTGTAATATGTCTTCCATTTTATCAAATGAGACCAAGAAATCGCAAATACAACTATAAAAAACATACGAAAAAACACTGCAAAGTTGCTGTTTTAATCGAAAATCACGGTCTCAGTTTTTTCTCTCACTATACACTGTGTGCTGCAGGATTTGTTTTAAGTGGTGCACACATACCACATAGATGTATTCTCTCATATCTAAGCCCAAATTTACCACTCACAGCTTATCAGAGTGAGCTGAGCTCATGGCGTAGATCTACGGTTTGGACCCTGAACGTAAAGCCGTAGATCTACGGCACGGACCCTGAAAGGGTTAATTCAGGGAACTGGAGCACAAATCCGATTTTCTAGATCAAAAGCCCCTCACCAGCATCAAGGAACCTCCCTTGAGGGGGTGAAAGGCTTAAA